GTAAGTATGTGACGTTTTAGACTACCTAATTGTGAGAATGTTTTTTTGCATATATTGCATTGATGCTGTTTTACATCACTGTGTATCAGCATGTGAGTCTTCAGACTGCTTGATTGCGTGAATGTTTTTTTGCGTTATTGCATGCATAGGGGCGTACTTCATTATGATCAGCATGTTTTTTTTCAGATCACCTGTTCGCATGAATGTCTTTTTGCTATATTGCATTCAAGTGGACGTACTCCACTGTGTATCAGCATGTGTTTTTTCAGATACCACTTTCTGTAAATTTTTTTTTGCATATATTGCATTCATGGGGCGCACTCCAGTGTGAATGAGCTTGTGCTTTTTCAGATTACCTAATAGACTGAAAGTCTTACGCAGATTTAGCATTTGAAAGACTTCTTTGCTATATTAGGAATGTGATCGGCATGCTCTTTAAATGATCTGATTCTGCAAATGATCTATTGCAAAGGTCACATTCATAAATTGTTGTCTCGACTAACTCCTGTTTCACTTCTTCAATTGTCACCTCCGAATTCATAAATCTTTCTAAACACGTATCATCATCTCAGAACACGATTCAGATTTGACAATAACGTCGGGATCATCAAAATCATCCTCTAATTCGAGTTTAATGTCTTCTGGTAAATATTCTGGTGGTTCAGAAATGTGAAAAATTTTTCGTCTACGTTTTAGCCCGCAATTCTGAATCGATTTTGAAAATTCAAAAACCGTTCAAAAGATATTGGTTGGGAATCGTGCTGATTAGTTTTTGGTAAAGATCGGCCGGGCCGTTTTCTTGTAATAAAGTTAAAAAAAAAAAAATTCGACGATTTTTATGATTTTTTTTTGACGGTAGATACCATAGTCTTCTAGATCATACTAAAATATTACGGCCCTACGACAACTGGTTCAGCTTTAAAATTCGTCAAGTTTGCAAAAAATTGTATCGTTTTTTTTGGCATTTGTCAAAATTAGACTTTTGATCGACGTTTTTTTTCAAAAACGCCTGAACAGATTTTGAAATTTAAAAGCCATTTGATGTATTTGGTGAGGACTAAAGTTTGTCAGTTTTGTGCGATGATCTGCCAAGCCGTTTCTTTGCAATTTGAAAAAAAAGTTGTTGTCCACATTTAAGCTCATCCTACCGAACCGATTTTAAAAAATCAAAAACTGTTCGAAATATATTAGTTGGGAATGGTACTGATTAATTTTAGGTGAAAATCTACCGAGCCGTTTTCTTGTAATGAACTGTTGAAAAAAAATTTAAGCCGATTTTCATGGAACTTTTTTTGGCGATATACATCATGGTCTTATAGAACTTACTGTAATATTACGGCCTTACGACAAGTAGTTTTAATTTTAAAAATTCGTCAAACTTTGCTAAAAATTATTATCGTTTTTTTAAAGTAGGATTGATGAAGTATATTATTTACACATTTTTTTTGATTAGTCGATTATTTACACATATCGGGAAGTTCATGTAACTTGCCTCAAGGCTAAATACCAAACCAACTAGTTTAGTTCAAGTAATGATGTTTCCTTCTGATGTGAACTTGTTGAATGTTGACACACATGAAACGCCAAAACGAATACAATAAAAGAAGTTTCGTGAGAAAGATGAAGAAATTTTTGTTTGTTTTATATTTGAAAAGGAAAAATTTTATTTTATTACACAACAGTGATGAATTTATTTCGATTACAAAAATGAAGTGTTTTCAGTTGAACTTCTCTAAGTAAATGATAGTGAATTCCGCAAATTATCCGTTTCATTTGAAGTGCTCTTTGGTAAAACCACATTTTTTGTTTTTTGGTTCTGACGTTACACAAACAAAGGCGGATGGCTTTCCAATTCGTGAACAGGCAACATGTAACTGCCATGTGAAAAACAATGATTTTCCAAATAATCTATTTGAAATTTATCCCGCAAACACTAAGCTATTGGCCTTGCGACTTGTTATTGCGAACGCAAGGCAAACTGGAAATTGCAATCGTTTGAAGTCAAACGGAAGACCAGTCGGAATCATTGGTATGTCACCAAATCGCCAGCAATTTTTGATTGAATGGTGCA